TTAAGTCTTGTGAAAGCAATATTTGAAACAAAAGAAGAATTTAGCAATTCTGATGAATGAAGAGGAACATACTATATATCGACATTTGACAAAACACTGATTTGCAAAAGAAGATCACATGAGAAAGGAGCAAGATTGCAGGATTAAACAATTTCACAAATCCAAGTTATCATTGATTTGTGTTGGAGTACAATTGATCAGTTTATTCTGTTGTCCAGAGTTTTATTTTTTATGTAGCCAATAACGTTGCTACTTTGTTGCCCCTTCTTATCTGTTTTGCAGGGGACCCAATTGCAAAACGATCTCCACTAGAAGCTCTTCCACCAAATAGGGATGATAGTGTCCATTCACGCAAGGTAAAAAGGCAATGGCCCATCTCAGCTCCTTAATTTTATAAACTCTTTAACAGCCATTTGGTCAAGTAGCTCCCCAAGGATCTCTTTTTTGTTTTTTGTTTTTTTTTGCCTTTTGATTAGACTAACCTAAGTTAGCTAGTATCAGCTTTGTTAGCTTAAGCAGTTCCAGTTTTCAGAATCAACCTGGGTTCAATTCGAAATTTATTATATGGTACAGGTGCAGTTTGGAATTTTTCGTGAGTCTTATGTCTGCCATTTGTAAAGTTTGACTGCCTGTACTATCCGAAATGAAGCTCTGAATAGGAATCAATATACACCAGGACTTAAAAATTTTACTTACTGTTGTTATTTTATCATGTATTGATCAGGTCAGTTTATTTTCCCCTTAAATATGTAAATGCCCTGCAAAATGTTTCACAGGAAAGCCAAAGCGAAGGATCTGCTATATTAGAATTACAAAAGAGACTAGAAATTTCAGCTTCGGTCTCTAGTTCCGGGCTTCAAATTGTAGATGAGCTGGAAGACAGAGAATTTCTTGAACTTGCCTCAGGGCTGATTGGAGATGAAGTTTCCAATAATGGACAGGTTTTTCCCAACTATCTATATTTTATGATTTCAGTATTTTGCATACTCCACTTATAAAATTCTCCGTGATTGAAGAAGGAAATTCAGGCAGTCCGTGATCACTGGAGGAAGTCTGCACCAAGTTCAGTAAAGCTCAAGGAGCTAGGGCCCTTGCTTCGTGATTACCAACGCCTGATTACTCGCCATTACTTGTAAGAATGACCTGATCCTCAGCATGTATTTGTCAGTTCACTTGCCTCAAAATGTCACAGTAGTTGTGGTCTACAATTAGTAGTGTTTTCAGTTGCCAGCAGTGTGGATCCTCAGTTAATCTTCAAGTTGTCTATGTAAAAAGCTGTGCATTCATCTTGAAGTTTGTGCATGTCTGTGACAGAGCAAATGGTGGTGCTGATTTAACCTCCACGGAATCTCATTTTCCTGGGAAAGACTCTCATCGGTTTTATCACATTAAAAGTGCTTCTAAGGTACGAGTTGTGTAAATCAATGGGCTTCTTGTTTGTCATTTTAGTTGATTTTTTGCAAATTTTTAGACAATTTAGACACGTCCTAGGTTTCATGGATAATGCTGGAAATCTTGGAGTAAATCAGGTGATAAGGGTGCTGGATCAATTACTATACCTCACTAATGAACATAACATGCAATTAAATATTGTTCTACCAGAAAATACCAAATGAACTCTTTTCTGTATTCAATGAAGATCAGTTTATAGAATGAATACATGAATGCCCGTTGTGAAGATATAATCCTAAGTGTGATGAGTTCCTATACGGAACATCACCATTATCCATTTTCAGTATTCGTGCTTCTCCTTAATGCTTCCCTAATCTCATGCTCGTCGCTGATTGTGGAATTTCAGTTGCGTATGGATGATATCCCAAAGTTGCTGGAAGAGTACAAACAGCTTTCATCTGATTGAAAAACAATATGGGAATGCCCTTTGTGTCAAAATCGTTGTAGGAGTTTGTATCTCATGGTAACTCTATCAAACTGGAAAATTTGCATTGCTTTGGGTGAACGAAAGCAGATGATATGTAAACCAGTAGGTCAATAACTCTCTGTCTTATAATTTTCTCTCTCTTTTTTTATACCTTTTTAAATTGTTTTTCTTTGGAATGTGACTGTTTGAAACATATTAGGCTATTGATTACGTTTCCAATTCACATAAAAATTACTTTAAATTATAACTTGTGAATTGATCGAACAAATATGAAAGTAACAATTGATTGAATCACTGTGTAAGTATATAATTTATACTGGTAAAGATTATAAATCATAAGGGCTTTTGAATTGTGAGTCGTGGAAGCCAATTGTTATTATGATAAGATAAAATTTTCTTCTTGATTGATTCATAATACATGAATTACAAGTGGATCAAACATGCTTTTCCCTAATCTCCTTAATCTCTAAAATGGGTTTACAAAGAAAGACAATGAATTTAATCAATCCCTGATCCATGGTATTGCATTTCTTTGCATTCAAGTCGGACCTTTATGGTTTTAGCGCAGGGCTAGCTTTTGGCTACTAATTTGAACTAAAGTTAAATTCAATGAAGAAACACAACATCATTGAACGAAGCACATAAAAAAAAAAAAGAAGTATTTTAAGGAAAAATCAGCACGTAATGAATACAATATCTCGCTGTGAGATCCTAGAAGGCAGAGATAATCTTGCTCAGTTCTTCCAGCTTCGTCATCCTTTGTCTTTCACTCTCAGTCAGCAGCTGCCAAGAAAATGTAAACAATGAAGAAGAAGAAGATGAAGAATAGCAGGTTGTAGCGCCGTGAGCTGTTTTGAGCTTTTTCTTCGTCCTTTTCATTGAAAGATTCCAGGGCTTCCTTGTATTCTTTCTCCTGTAGACAATCAGAATTATCTTATTTAGGAAGAAGAAAACCTGCACAAAAAAGGAATAGGAGCATCTCTTACACCTTCTTTTGGCAGCTCTGACCTAGAGGCCGTTTCAACTCTCTATTTGCCATGTCAATATTCTTCTTAAGTTTTCTGACCTAGAGGCCGTTTCAATTTCTTTTGTATCCTCACTTGATTGCTCATATGATGATCACTAGAGACTTACATGATCGTTAACTTCATGGTCCATGAGATTAATCACGGTACGCACAAGCTGACCCAATCATCCACGTTAATCTTAAAAAAAAAAATAGAATTACTCGCTTTATTCCAACTGAAACTGCCATGCTGCTAGGTTAAAGGCAAACTCACCTTAAAAAACGTACTTTGTTGTCGAACAACAATGTAACCAAAGATCTATACGGTCCTCTTTTTAGTACTCTCTCCTGCATCAAGCACGTAGTTAATTACAAGCAAAATCCCAATGAGCAACCTATTTACACATTAGTTATTCATTTTTAGAATTTTTCAAATTTTAAAACACCTATATAATTAACAGTATTTCAAATTAGTTGAAAAAAAATAAAAAAAGGGAGATGAGCCACAAGAACGATTCCTTGGATGTGAAGGACTGATCTTTCTTTTCCTTTTTCCTCCTTGGCCCCCCTCTGCCTCCTATTCCTTAGATTACACCATCATCATCGTCATCACATGTTCCTTTCAGCTGGCTGGCTGTCCATGATAACCAAAAGCCATGGGAACATAATTGCTGCTTTAACCACTCACACCTGTGTAATATTCCTCAACCACTCGCATTTGTCTCCCTGTTAGAAAATTAATAATTAATACAAACAAAAACAAAAACAAAAACACAAACAGAATTTTTTTTATTTATATTTTACAGTTATATTTACTGATTAAAATTTTTATCTTTATTTTTATTGATAAATATCAATATAAATATTCTTATAATATATACCAAGAAAATCTTAATAATAATAATAATAAAAATAAAAAGCTAAACAATCCGATAACTTGCAAGTTTTATAAATAACGTTACCATCTAAATTAATTCAAATATGAAATTCATTTATGAATATACCAATAAAAATATTCTTTTATTAAAATTCATTCCTAAGATTTTATGGTTTACATATGGCTTCTTATTATTTTGTTAGATAAAAATAAATAAAATCAAAGTTGTCATTGAAATCCAAGATTGCGTGTTATGTTGGGTCCAAATATTAAATAAGAGCTCGTAAAAATAAAATATTAAAAGATAAATTACATAAACCATGCATATAATAAGCATAACTACATTATTCTTAAAAAAAATCCATAAGTATATTAAATATTCCCTTTTTTTTTTTCAAAACTGCACTATTGTTTTATAATTTTTTTTCTTCAAATAAATATATCATCACGTAAATCATTGAATTGATCTTCAATAGTTTTATTTTGAATAATAAAATATATTTACTTTAATCACAATAAATCTCAAAAAGCCCATTATACAATATTGTTATAATAACAAAATTGTTTTAAATCTAGAATTTTCATACCATGAATTTTTTTTTATATAAATCCAGGCATTTTTTGAATAGAATTTTTTTTTCAAATATTCACGGAACAAAAATTAATTCCAAGATTGAAGAACTTAAATATTAATATGTAATTTTACACCAACTAAAATTCAAACTAGTTGAACAAGAAGATATTCAGAAGCCCTTGCACCATCCAATTCCACCGAACCCAATTGGCCCAATATCCATTTGTGATAATTGATAAATATAATATTGTTTTTGGTAATTGATAAATATAAATATTTAATAATCAAGTCATTAATTACTTTAATTGGGCACCAATCCCACAGGACACAAGGTAAAGGTTGAGGAGTGGTATTATTCAGCAACAAACCACTTCAAACCAGTGAAAAAAATTCAACACTCACGTCTTTCCATCTTCTCTTCACCTAAACCTCGAAAGAAAAATAGCAAAACAAACAAGCAAACTTCTTCATTATACAGGACATGAAAAATCTAGAGAAGCGAGAGAATTTGATAAAAAAAAAGTTAACAAATCAATGACGGGTTTCTTTATTTGTATCCTCTCCTCATGCGATCTCTTGTTTAGCTGAGAAAGCAAGAGAATATGTCCCAAAATGCTCCCCAAGACTACCTGCTTCCAGTTGAAAAGGTTTCAAGAAAAGCAAGGACAAGACATCCAAAGAATGGGAATTACTCGCTTTATTCCAACTGAAACTGCGATGCTGCTAGGTTAAAGGCAAACTCACCTTAAAAAACGTACTTTGTTGTCGAACAACAATGTAACCAAAGATCTATACGGTCCTCTTTTTTGGTCCATGAGATTAATCACGGTACGCACAAGCTGACCCAATCATCCACGTTAATCTTAAAAAAAAAAATAGAATTACTCGCTTTATTCCAACTGAAACTGCAAGACATCCAAAGAATGGGAATTACTCGCTTTATTCCAACTGAAACTGTAAGACATCCAAAGAATGGGAATTACTTAACCATTTAGGTGGTGACCAAGTGGTAAAGATTTGGGACTAAGAGGTTTGCTCCCTCTGTGGTCTCAGGTTCAAGTACTTGATTGCTCATATGATGATCACTAGAGACTTACATGATCGTTAACTTCATGGTCCATGAGATTAATCACGGTACGCACAAGCTGACCCAATCATCCACGTTAATCTTAAAAAAAAAAATAGAATTACTCGCTTTATTCCAACTGAAACTGCCATGCTGCTAGGTTAAAGGCAAACTCACCTTAAAAAACGTACTTTGTTGTCGAACAACAATGTAACCAAAGATCTATACGGTCCTCTTTTTAGTACTCTCTCCTGCATCAAGCACGTAGTTAATTACAAGCAAAATCCCAATGAGCAACCTATTTACACATTAGTTATTCATTTTTAGAATTTTTCAAATTTTAAAACACCTATATAATTAACAGTATTTCAAATTAGTTGAAAAAAAATAAAAAAAGGGAGATGAGCCACAAGAACGATTCCTTGGATGTGAAGGACTGATCTTTCTTTTCCTTTTTCCTCCTTGGCCCCCCTCTGCCTCCTATTCCTTAGATTACACCATCATCATCGTCATCACATGTTCCTTTCAGCTGGCTGGCTGTCCATGATAACCAAAAGCCATGGGAACATAATTGCTGCTTTAACCACTCACACCTGTGTAATATTCCTCAACCACTCGCATTTGTCAGTCACACCTTTGTAATATTCCTCAACCACTCGCATTTGTCTCCCTGTTAGAAAATTAATAATTAATACAAACAAAAACAAAAACAAAAACACAAACAGAATTTTTTTTATTTATATTTTACAGTTATATTTACTGATTAAAATTTTTATCTTTATTTTTATTGATAAATATCAATATAAATATTCTTATAATATATACCAAGAAAATCTTAATAATAATAATAATAAAAATAAAAAGCTAAACAATCCGATAACTTGCAAGTTTTATAAATAACGTTACCATCTAAATTAATTCAAATATGAAATTCATTTATGAATATACCAATAAAAATATTCTTTTATTAAAATTCATTCCTAAGATTTTATGGTTTACATATGGCTTCTTATTATTTTGTTAGATAAAAATAAATAAAATCAAAGTTGTCATTGAAATCCAAGATTGCGTGTTATGTTGGGTCCAAATATTAAATAAGAGCTCGTAAAAATAAAATATTAAAAGATAAATTACATAAACCATGCATATAATAAGCATAACTACATTATTCTTAAAAAAAATCCATAAGTATATTAAATATTCCCTTTTTTTTTTTCAAAACTGCACTATTGTTTTATAATTTTTTTTCTTCAAATAAATATATCATCACGTAAATCATTGAATTGATCTTCAATAGTTTTATTTTGAATAATAAAATATATTTACTTTAATCACAATAAATCTCAAAAAGCCCATTATACAATATTGTTATAATAACAAAATTGTTTTAAATCTAGAATTTTCATACCATGAATTTTTTTTTATATAAATCCAGGCATTTTTTGAATAGAATTTTTTTTTCAAATATTCACGGAACAAAAATTAATTCCAAGATTGAAGAACTTAAATATTAATATGTAATTTTACACCAACTAAAATTCAAACTAGTTGAACAAGAAGATATTCAGAAGCCCTTGCACCATCCAATTCCACCGAACCCAATTGGCCCAATATCCATTTGTGATAATTGATAAATATAATATTGTTTTTGGTAATTGATAAATATAAATATTTAATAATCAAGTCATTAATTACTTTAATTGGGCACCAATCCCACAGGACACAAGGTAAAGGTTGAGGAGTGGTATTATTCAGCAACAAACCACTTCAAACCAGTGAAAAAAATTCAACACTCACGTCTTTCCATCTTCTCTTCACCTAAACCTCGAAAGAAAAATAGCAAAACAAACAAGCAAACTTCTTCATTATACAGGACATGAAAAATCTAGAGAAGCGAGAGAATTTGATAAAAAAAAAGTTAACAAATCAATGACGGGTTTCTTTATTTTCAACAACAAAGAAAGGTTTGGTCTTTTTTCTTTTGATCTGTCATAGCAATCAAATTCGTATGTGGGTTTTTCTTGATTGGTGTTTTGAGTAGATTTGGAGTGTTCGTAGTGTCAATCTGCTTACTGGGTTCTGGATATTTCAGGGTTTTGGCTTTCTTAAGTTGCTTAAAGATTGAATCTTGGTGATTTATCGTGTTGTGAAAGGTTCTATATGTTCCAAAGCTTAAGACTTAATGAGATATTGATTGCAGATTTGCAGTATTTAGTGTGTTTTAATATATAAGTAATTAAGAAAGATGCAATCTAGGAGGAAAGAAGATTACGTGACACAGTCGCCATCTTCAAAGATACGTAATCCACATAGAACTGATATAGGACATGAGTCTCATCCTGCTCCTCGCCATAATGCAGTTGATCGGTCTCCACGCGTGCAGCAGCGAAGGAGTTTAAGTCCTCGTAGTAAGGTTGAGGTTTCTAGAAGGGTAGTTCAAGGGGAGGGAAGGAGCAGTTCAACTGAAAAAAGGGACTATGGTTGGCATTTGGGTGCAGGTAGGACTGAAAAAGTCCGGCCTGGTTCCCCACAATATGCGCAAGAGCATAGAAAGCCTCCTTCCGACGACGGGGTTGTGCATAGGAAGTACAGGCAAGTTGAGGATATAGATTATGATGGTAAAAGTAATAGATTGAAGCGAGGATATGATCATCATGCTGCACTTTCTAGAGTGGATAAAGAAAAAGATTATCGTGAAAGCAGGGCTGTGGGTATTGATGGGCATGGCATGTTGGGGCAGAAATCAGTGCCCGTGGAAGATGGTTTGGTAAGAGGGCCATATCGGGTGCCTCCAGATTTGGTTCCCAGCTCATCTTATGGAGATGCTGGGGCGCATATCCAGTCAATGTCCCGGGGTATGGATATTGGCCACTTTGAGGATGAGGAACTTCGATTTCGAGAGCCTATACCATCAGATAAGATTCCAGTCAGGGATTTTTATGAAGAAGAGGAAAGACCCATGTTTCATTCTAGAAATGTTCTATACACCAGGATGCCAGCTCCTCATTCTAAGGATTTGGAAAGTACTTCTCGTTTTGAAAATTTTGCTGGTTCATCTTCTGGATTCTCAAGGAGTGAGTTTCCAAGTTCATATAGAGAAGGCATGCCTTTTGCTGAATCAGATGAATATCCAAGGAGCAGCATGAAACTCACAGAATCTATGGATTTTAACGCATATAGGGAAAGGCCAGTTATGGACATAAGAGACCGAGAGGCTGGTAAGAGAGTTATTACGAGTTATCCTGAGGTTGCTTATAATCCTAGAAGGGTCTCACATGATCATTACCTTTACTCCAGGTCACAAGGAACTGTGAATGATGATCATGCATATCAATCTGATGACATACACAGAATAATGTCCCCACCTTCTCCATTGGACTATGAGCATGCTCGAATAGATTATGAGCATAGAGAATTTTCAAGGCTGAGTATGCACCCTGTTAGAGACAGGACTGAGCACGCTGAGGGTTCCTATATAAACATGAGAAGGAGCACTGTATTTGATCATCCTACAATACAAAAGCAAGCACCTATGGAGAACCTCGATGCAGGCAGAATACAACATGCATCAGAATACAATGCAGAATATTTGGGCTCTGCATATACCCGAGTTGAGTTTGGACAGGGGGAGTTACAAGATAATAAGAAATCTCGTTTGGGTTTCACACAGAATCACCAAATCCCGCATTCAAGGTCAAATTATGGGTTTGGACGAGATGCAGGTCCACAGTTTCAAAGGGAAATATTGGACAATCCTCCTATGCCATTATATGACCTGGAAAGGCTTGCTACCAAGAGGCAAAGGACGAGGGAAGAGCTTGCGATATACAAGCCATCAGATAAAGCATTCAAGCAGAAGTATGTAATGGAGGAAGAAATAAATAGGCATGACAGAAAGTACGTTGTGGAGGAAGATATAAATAGGCATGATACAAGAAATACCGTGTCAAACAAATGGAATGCACCTCAAGAATTTGAAGATGTTTATGAAACAGGCGAGGGATGGGTAAATGAAAATGCAGGTGATTTACATGTATCCAGTACTCAGAGGTTTTATCAGAGTGCATATAGAAATGCTAAAAGGACATATGACAGGCAAGATATTCTTGGAGATTCTGCATCTGAAGACTGGTTGTCTTCTCAAGCTTCTTTGTCACCTGCACGAAGGCATTCCATTAGACATTATAAACCTGGTGCTAAATATATGAACGGTCATCCAAGCTCTGGTCCTTTAAGCTGGTATAACTCGCACCAGGCTGATAGAAAAAGTGGTGTTCATAGACAGCATAGGATTTGGAAAAGAAATGATGATTTTGGCGATGATGCAAGTGTAATTGATGATGACCAGCCAGAAGAATGGGTGAATCTTGGGGAGGCTGAACCACCTGAGGGCTCAGAGGAATTCAAGCAATTGGTGGACGAAGCCTTCTTGCTGTACTCTAAAAGATTAAATTTGAACTCTGCAGTTCGGAGAAGATACAAGGAGCAAGGAAAAGCTGGTAGTTTGTTCTGCATCGTTTGTGGCAAAAGGTCTGTTTACTTTTTCTGTGATATGCATTTTTAAAGTGGAGAACTTTTCCATATTTTGATTCAGGAGTTTCGTAGTCTGTCTTACTGCAGAAATCAGATGAGTTTTGGCTAAACCCAAAAGACTTTTTTTTCCAGTAATTTCTGAGATTTTATCATATTGGTATGTGATGGTAGAGATCATTTATATATGTTACTGTTACTTGCTGGGGTAATCTTTGGAGGTGGATGATGTGGTTTAATTTCATGCAATGGAGCATGAGCATTTGGCAAACTCCTAGCTATGGATAAAGGGCACTACCTGAATCTTGCATGAGGCTTTTTTTTGGCATTAAATATGCTTTCAATAATTTATAGATTGCGTTTATGCATTCTGTTCCTTGTGTAAATGTGTGAGAGGTGATTGGTCAGAGTGACCCCTTTGGTGAAATTTGTTTCTTGTGTAAATGTGAGAGGTAATTGGTCAGAGTAACTCCTTTGGTGAAATTTATGTAAATGATTGTTGTGTGCACGTTGATAGTCTTAGAGTGATCAAGAATTACAAGTTCTTGTTTCACATAAAAATTGTCTTATACTGTTGTTTGACGTAACATTTAAATGGCAAAATCTTTGGCAATATAATAACTGTTAGCAAATGCTTATAATGTGTGATTGGATGGCTTTGTGCTGCTGGAAGCAGTAGAATAATCACACTGGATGTATATGATGGGTGGCTATAGAAGAAGGGGCTGTTTATGCATGGATCAGAAAGGGAAGATTGAGGTAGTTAGCAGCAGGTCAAATGGGTCAGAGAAAAAGGGGTTAACTGCTTCCTAGTTTTTTTGGCTGTTCGAGGACATGCTTAATTCTGTTTATTTGTGAGGCTATGATGCCAGACAATTAAGATTTGAGGAGCTATAGAAGGAAAAGTAAGAAATAAGAAAGAAGAAGATGGGAAGAAGAAGTAGGAGCTGAAGAAGAGAAGAAAAAATTAGGGGAAGAGAACAAAAGTCAACTTTTTTTTAATTCATCAGAACTGTACATAATGTGAAAAATTACATATAAATAGTAAAACCCTAATCACAACCAATAATTGGGCTAATAACCCACTAAACAAAATACCCAACAAAATAACATGAATTAAGCCCAATAATAAACCCAGATAAAATCCAAAACATAGGGGTTGGACAATCCTCCTTCATCTTTTGACCATGCATGTGTGGGGACCGTGTCTTGGGTTTGGTGTTGTCACCACACTAGCATTGTATTTCTTGAAGAATGCCTATGTGATATTTGCTTGTTCACCTTGCATTTTCAGCAGGAATAGGTATTGTTAAGGACTGCATTTACTTTCCATAGAAAAGATGTTTAATCTATGTCACTGATATAAATTGGCTAATGACATGCTAAATTCATTCCTGCTGATTTCTTTATTGTACTCATTTATGGATGTTATGCTTGTCCATCAAATTCCTTTTGGCATTGTTGCACTCCATCTTGCACTTCACTTTCTTATGTTTACATGCCTATGCTTTTAACAGCTCATCAAAGGAGTTCATGGCTGCCCAGAACCTGGTACAGCATGCCTTTATGTCTCACAAGATTGGGCTGAGAGCCCAACACTTGGGTCTTCACAAAGCAATATGTGTTTTGATGGGCTGGAATAGTTCCGTGCCTTGTGATGCAATAACATGTGCTCCTGAGATCTTGCCTGCTGAAGAAGCTGTTGCTCAGAAAGAGGATTTGATGCTCTGGCCTCCACTTGTTGTTATCCACAACATTTCTATGTCGAACAACAATCCAGAACATCAGAAGGTCGTACCTATTGAAGGGGTGGAGGCTTTTCTGAGAGGCAAGTTGCATTTTATTTGATCAGTTACTGGATACTGTTTTACTAAAATGAAACTTGAGTCGGGAATGCATGTAGAGAACAATTACTCTTTCTAATGCTAATGAAGAGAAACATTAGCTTGAATTCATTAGTCTTTGAACATACAAGGAAGAACAGCATACATTTCGTGTTTGCAAATTTTTCTGCACCATGTGAAAGCAGTTGTATGTATATTCAGTATTTTGCCCGACTAACAGTTTGTCTCACTTTTACCAATTCACTACGTCCCTTTGATAGGTAAAGGTATTGTTGGAGGTAAAATCAAGGTATGCCTAGGAAAACCTGCCGACCAAAGCATTATGTTGGTAAAGTTTTTGGGAACTATTACTGGACTTGGAAATGCAGAGAAGCTTCACAAATATTTTGCTGAGAAGAAACATGGGAGAGAAGAATTTGAGCATAAAACATCCAACAATGGTAACAACATCAGTGGTTGGAAAGAAGAAACTCAAGGAGGCGGCAAGTTGGAGGAGCAGCTGCTATATGGGTACCTGGGAATTGCTGAGGACTTGGACAGGCTTGATTTTAATACTAAGAAATGGATTAAAATAAAGAGCAAGAAGGAAATTCAAGAGCTGGCAAATGCCCCTGTTAAAACTGATGACAAGTTGCTGAATTACTAAAGAAAAGTTGCTGAATAACTAATGACAAATATTAACTTAAACATGGTGGAGCAATTTCCTTCAGGAGGAATTTCACGCAAAAAAAGTTTCTCCATCTTTAGTTCCAGTCTATTGGTAGTCTATTAATACATAACTTAAGGTAGTGCAATCCTACCTTAAGCTATGTATACGTATCAAGATTTGGAATTATCTTTGTTATGAAGACAGAAATTTCTGTGCAGAAGTTATCCTCCTGTATGTGTAGTCTATTGGTAGAACAATACTACTTTAATCTATGAGTACAGATCAAGATTCGGAATGTCTTTGTAATCCAACTCTTTTCCTAGTCAGATATTACCTACTTGCATACTCGGATTCCCAAGTTCTACACCATTTGCTATAATGTACTGTGACCTATGATTTTTGTTTCTGTTCTTTCGAAAACTGTGATGACTTCTGGAGTATGATACTGTGTTTGATTGGAAGTCAGAACTTGGAACCATTCCTTTTCCCAGAAAGTTAAAAAGTGAAAAAAGAAAAAGATGAGGGCCTGTTCAATTGCCAAAGGCTAATTTCTTGAGGGCAACTTGAAGTTCCCTGTCTCGTTGTCTATTAATTTTTCCTTCGGCTCATCTTATTCACGCTGTTTTTCCTGTGTACTGTAAATGAAGTCCACCTTGTTCCGGTGCTGTCGTTTGGTCTGTTTCACTTTGCAACATTTCAAACGAAATTGGACTGAGCTTGAATGGTTTGATTAACATTTCTTTCCCTTTTCGTTCTGGTGATATCTGAGCAAGTGGTGAATTCATGAGATTGGGTGTTTGAGAGTGTAATTGTTTTTTATTTAAAAATATATTAAAATAATAATTTTTTTATTTTTAAAAAATTATTTTTGATATTAACATATTAAAATGATTTAAAAATACACATAAGAAAACATTAATTTGAAGCAAATAAAAAATAAAAAAATTTATTTTTTTAAATATTTTTAAAATACAAAAAAAATAAAATAGTATTACTATGTAACCAATCCACCACTACGGAGTAGCCATGTTGGATCATACCGGCTGAAAGAGGAGCGACTATCCAAGAGGAGTTGAACCCATGACTTGGGGTGCCTTGAGCTCCCCACCTAACCCCGTCCTCAAGGACTTGAGCCATTCGGTGGCGCACATTCATCAGGGATGAACGTGATAGGGTGACATGAACTTCTTTTCAGAGTTCAGGACCGTCTGGATTCGAAGTCTTGGATTACACTTGTTGCCTGATTGTTGATGTATTTTTTTCTTCCACATACTATCAAGGTGGTGTTTTCTTTATCTTTGGTTTTGAATGTCTTGCGATTCTTAGAAAGAAAACAAGAGGTCGGAAACAGAAGATGGTAGAAGGAAATTGCTGAAGAAAAAAATACCCTGCATTCAGTGAAATCTTATATAGAACAATAAATTGGAACTTACATAAATAATGGATACACAAGCCATGAAGAAATAGAAAATTTAAGGGAGGGAGGCAAGCAAACCACTGATAAATTTGTCCAGATTTCAGACAAGAACACAGTCTGGAAAATTCTATCAAGACTCTTGCCTATCTTCTTTGGAAATTCAAGTACTTAATTCCGTAGGCAAAGCAAAACAAGAAGAGTACAACAAAACCAATATGGGCTGCTGCAACGGCTCCTAGGAAGTCATATTCAAATCCTAAGCGTGCCTTGAGGAAGTCCTTTACTGCGACAGGACCAACTTCAGGTATCTCGATCATTTTTTTGAGGTTGCCTACCTGGGAGGTAATGAGGCCATAGATTGTCCAAGAGACTGGAGAAGCCCAGTAGTACCACCTCCACCAGAGAGGAATTTGCTGCAAAAAAAGAGTTGTCAGGTTTCAGTTTTTTTCCCTGAAAAATCAAAGACGGAAAGCATACAGTATCCTAGATGATTGGAAATAGAACTACATAAGGACTCCGTCGGGAATACATACCGTTCTCGGGACAAGGAAGCCAGAGAACAGGTTCCAGAAACTCATGAAGAACGACATAACAATTGCAGCAATTTGATGGCCAGGAGTGAGAGAAACAAGCATCATCCCGTAAAGTGTGAAGTACATGAAGGCAGTGAATATGAAGAAATAGAACCACAAGAAGTTTGTAAATTCCCAGGAGAATCCAATCATCACATAGAGCAATATACTATAGACCATAGTTTGGATTGCAACATAAATTCCCTCAATGGCAACCTGCAAGGAACACGATAGGATCAGTTAGTCATTCAAGTATGTTTTCTAGTGTTTGGATGATTTACATCTAAGTTTTAGCTTATTTTACCTGAGCAAATGCATAAGGCAGTTCAGAGTACATTCCAGCAGCTCTTTCACGGTAGAAGACCGTTCTTTCTATCGACACTATTGACATCACTGAGGAAGTGTTGGTGGCTCCCAGGAAAATGACTGCAGAATACATTGCTCCAAGCAAATTGAATAGATCTTGTTGCTTGTTTCTGTTGACAAGAGTTTGCAAGTGCTTAAGATGAATTCACAAATTAACATTCACAGAAATCACTTTCCTAGTACCTATCCATTGAAAATATGGCTCCAACAGTGGGTGGTAATTTTGCAACAAGAAAAACTGGTCAATAATCCTTCCGAAACTGTGCAAAATACTTCAACATGACTAGCTGACTACAACTTTATGGTGTTTTTGCAGTAAGCTTTAACTTTTCTTTTCCCTTTAAGGTTTTAATTTTTTTTTGTTACTTGTCATCAACGAGGATTGATAATAAAAGTGAATCAGATATTGCACGCTTACATCTTTTGCCCTTGGTTCCAGAAAATAAGTCCAAATATAAGACCAATAGCCACTGTCATGAACAATCGCATGGCATTATATCGTGGGTTCTTCCAATAAGACCATTTCTGTTTCAAGAAGCATGCCTTGCATTGTGTAACGAAGTCCTGCGAGTATTGTGTCGGGAAGTAAAGGTCCTTAGATCCTGGTTCTGGCTTGCTTAGTTCTTCAATTAATTCCTGATTTGACCTGTTTCAAAAAGGAGATAAATTATATGCAATGACCAAAGTCGAAACTAGTTACATGGTAGGATTAGGGGGGAGAAAACAAAAAACAAAGAGGCACGGATAGCAGGAAAGCAAGAGTAGGTAGTCTGGAGTCTGAGATCCTTACTGGTAGAGTTCAGAATTGGCATAAATTTCTGCAAAGTCTACTTTGAGTTGAGCCTCGACTGCAGTTGAACTGATCTCCAGCATCCATGTAGCAGGATTATAACCATCTTTGATCTTAGGAACCCCTGGTACAGCCTGAAAGATGATGTAGATATTAAGTTGAGAAATTATTAGAGAACTTGTAAGAGATTTAACATTTGAGAAGCAATACTCACTTCAAAGTATTCTATGAGCTTGTGAGACTCATGACCGAGGGATCCTGCATAGATGACTTGTCCTCCTCTCTTCATCAGAAGTAGCTGCAGACGAGAAAGGGACAAAAATTTAAGAAGAAGCATGATGGCTTCAACAAAACAACAGGATTCAGACATTGGATGACCAAAAAACACGAGAGATTGAAATACCTCATCAAAAGCTTCAAAAATATCTATGCTTGGTTGGTGAATTGTGCAGACTACAGTTCGGCCTGTATCCACGGTATTTCTCACTGTACGCATAACAATTGCAGCAGCTCTAGCATCAAGGCCTGATGTTGGTTCATCCATGAAAATGATGGATGGATTAGCAACTAATTCTACTGCTATAGTGAGTCGCTTTCTCTGCTCAGTCGACAAACCATCTATCCCTGGAAGTCCTACCATAGAATTCCTTAGTGTGTTCAGCTCAACCAAATCCATGACTTCCTCAACAAACATCTGTAGCACAAAAGATAAAAACCTGGTGATCAATATGTATTGAGGATGCAGAAATAGCCATTTGCATCAGATCTAAATCAAATAGTCAATAATATGAAAAAAAATGTGATTTTCATGAAGAAAAGCATGCCTTTCTTGTATCCTCATTAATTTCCTTGGCGAGACGCAACCAAGCAGAGTACAGGAGTGATTCGTATACAGTAACGTAAGGAGAATGGATATCATTCTGCTCACAGTAACCGCTAACCCGAGCAAAAGTTTCTTGCTTCTTTGGATAACCAGAAATGCTGATACCTCCTTCAATGTACCCTCCAGTTTTCCGACCTGCTAGAACATCCATCAAAGTGGTTTTTCCAGCACCACTCACCCCAACCAACGCTGTTAGAACACCAGGTCTGAAAGCACCACTAACATCTCGTAACAGCTGTAGGCGATCCTCTTCGATTCCTTGCATTTTCATTTCCTGACAAAAAATCACAGTTTTCATTATTATCAATAAAAGTTCAGTCTACTGGCCTTATGAATCTCTCAATAAAAGTTAAATGGATATTTTTTTATGTTCATTCAATAATCTTTATATTTTCTTTTGTGATTTATAGTAGAAAAAAGGAATACAAAAATACTTACTGCAGGCATATCGACATAGTAATTAACATGATTAAATGCAAGTGACAACGGCTGAAAGGGCAACACCATTCCGCGTTGCTTAAGTGCTTTCTCTGCAGCAGCAAATGATAAGCACAAAAACGATTAAGATAGCAGTTTTTGCACACCGTGATTGATTAGAAATCTTTTCTTTAACATGACCATATTGAAGTTAGGCATTAATAGTAAACTGATGTGTCAACCGTGATTGATTAGCAGTCTTTTCTTTAACATGACCATATGGAATAAAGAATGACAGCTGATTTCTTTGCAGAAAGCTGTTGGAGAACAGTATAGCAATTAAGCTTTTTTGTTAAAAGCCACAACTAGGGAAAGATGTGAACCTTCAGTGAATTGGGAAGCAGATGCTGGAGTCATTTCTATGGCCTTAATATTTTGCTTTCCAGCGGAGGATGACCTCTTAGTCTCATCCTCATCCAGAATAATGGATTTGGAGTCTCCCAAAGCTGCATTGATTTCCAACAATTTATCAAATTCAACATTAATCTTACATAGCTGAAAGAAAGATCAATATCAGAGTCGATGGCTTACGATCCAAATAAGTCAGTGCCGCTGCGAAAAGGACATTAAAAAGCATAGCAAATCCAAGAAGTGCCCCAACAGAAATCCAATACCAATATTCTTCCATAAACATGCCTCTCATTTTGAGAAGAACCTTTCCAACCGTGGGTTGAGAAAATGCTTCGTCATGATATGGCTGCAGCAGGGAAAGGCCACTTTAGTTCAGATGACCAAGAAACAAGGTATTATGGAACATTAAAAGATTTGATTCACTATAAAACATTATTAAGAATTCTTACAACACTCCATCTATCATCAAGAAATTCGTTCAGGACTATGGCGTTCTGCCCATACATCATGGGAGAAATATAGTAGCCCCAGATCATCCAGGGTCCAATATCATCTGCGAAAGTCTCAGAACAATTTAGTATTTTTAACAATTACTCACCAGTCAACAGCACAGGCTACTAGTAGAAATAGGAATTGTACAAAGATTCCCTTCCTTCAGCAGTAAGAGGTGTTTCAGTGTTATTAACAAAAGGTAAAATATTTACCTTTGGAAACGATGAATCCACCGAGGACAAAAACTACCAGCAGTGTAAAGGTGCCAAGGGTGCTTGACACAACTTCTGTTCTTCCAACTGCAGCAATGAAACGGAAGAGAGAGAGAGCCATCTGATGCACACTGAAGAATGCTAGAAATTGTTTGAAAAACCTGAACATTTTACAATATGCGTTAATGAACATACTCATCACATTAGAAAGCTAAACTACACAGCCAAAATCATTGAAGAACAGAAATCCTTCCACATACCTGCTAGCAGCAGGAGCAAAACCAATGGTGTAATATGTGAGCAAGATCCATATCCCAGACTCCAACAAGGAGACAGGGATCCTCAGCAGATATATTGGTAATGCAAAAGCCCATGCTGGATAGAATTTGAAATCCCTTTGTTTGAAAAATACAGGAAGCCGAGTCATAGTCATCGCCATCTCTGCCATCCCATTGAACATTACGTTAATGAGACTAAAGAACAGCGCACCGTAATATTTTCCTCCACCTTCCACAGTGCCAACTGTCATTTCAGTTCTTAAGAACACTGTCATGGCAATGAGTGCCATGATAGTGATCTGGGTTGTCTTAAAAATATAGATAAAAGAGCTGCGCTTCATCAATAACCACTCTCTCGAAAAGCATGCCTTAAAGAGTTCCATATTGGAGATTCCATACTTATCTTTCACTAGTGCAGCCGGGTGAGCAGTAGATTTATCATACGGAATTCTAAGTTGTTCAGAGACTCTTTGGCCTGTGCGGAAAGACTTGAAGCAGTTCACAAGCTCAAGTGTCGATACATATCGATAAGGTTCATGCCTTTTGCTCCAGTACTGCTCTTGATCTTTCTTTGATGTTACCTCTTGCAAGAAATCTGCAACTCCTTTTCTTTCTGGGCACTTGAAACCAACACTTTCGAAGAATTCAAGTACTTCTTCACGTGGACCTTGGTAAACAATCTGACCTTCTGAGAGTAAAATAATGTCATCGAAAAGGTCATACGTCTCAGGTGCAGGTTGTAGAAGAGAAATTATCATGGTGACATCCAGGATGTGAACCATTTGTCTCATAAATTTGACAATTTGGTAAGTTGTTGAACTGTCCAAACCAGTTGATATTTCATCCATGAAAAGAGCTTTTGCTGGTCCAACCAACATCTCTCCGGTAGTAACACGCTTCTTTTGACCGCCGGATATACCTCTTCTCATGTCATCACCCACCGTGATATCAGCACAGATATCCATTCCAAGTATCTGTTGCAGTAAAACTTAATCAGTAAACCTCCGGGCTGCTGAATTATATAAGAAATGGTAGACAGTAACTGCAAAGGACGGCAACAAACCTTGAGAACATAGTCTGTAACTAGACTAGCTTCCTGGCCTTCTATAGCTATCGCTTTCATGAATGCATCTATCTCAGGATCTGGTTTTATCCCAGCCTCCTTTTCTCTTCTCAACAACTCTGCCAACAACTCATATCTTGCTCCAACACCCAAACAGCGCCCTGAAAAATCCAGTGTCTCTCTGACTGTCATCTCACCGTGATGAAGATCATGCTGGCTTATATAAGCACATGTTCTCTGAGGAACAAACTCATGCAATTCATGTCCACAGTAGGTGACTTTTCCAGATACCTGAAGACCAAGTTACACATGATTAAGCCAGAGATTTAGAAATAAAAAAATCTTACTCTGATAATTCATTCAGAATTGCTAACACGTGTAGGAGACTAGAAATGGAAGCAGAAACACACCCTGAGCTCCTTGTCCCTCTTTCCTGAAAGTGCCTGTAGCAATGTAGTTTTGCCTGACCCTGGAGGTCCTAGAAGCAGGGTCATCCTGAGGAAACAAGAATTAACACAAACCTAATGAATAATCTACAAACTTCAAGGCCTTCAGGCAAACGTTTTCAAGAATCAACTAGTTCAAGCTATTTCAACACAGCTGCAATACATTGAACACTGTAAAATCACTTAGTTGTACCTCATTGGTTCCACTATTCCGCTTACATTATGGAGAATGTTGACTACTCTTTTCTTAGACGGGGAAAGCCTCAAAAAACCCAGAAGTCCCTGATCGCCACGAAAGATTCAAAAGAAAATCATCTATCAGAACAAGATATAGTGGCTTATAATTAAATATGATGTAGTAAGTGCACATATAGCATATTGAATTCAATCTTCTCTCTTCAGAATTTTTTTTGCTGCAAGCTATACGTGGTCAAATTGAAATAAGTTGTCTGCAGAAATGATTAAAATGACAAAAGGAACTACCTCTATTTTGTTCACAGCAACATTCACTAGAGTTGGAAGTGCCTTGGTTCCAACATATGCATCTCCTTCGACAGACAAATGCTCGAACCGGACTTCAATCTTGGGAGTGACAATTCCCACCCTGTTTAAACAAGTCAACGTTTTCAATAAAAGAGAGGTTGTTTATGCACATTTAGGAAAAATCATAAACAAGAGTAGGCATCGAGGAAGAAAGAGTCTGACCTATCAGTCCTTTCCCTCAGCTTACGAAGAAATATCTCATTGTCTTCTTCAGCAACCTTGAATATACTCTCTATGAGCTGCCTCCTGCCTTGAACATCTAGATTGGCAACATCAACCTCTTCATAGCGAACACTTCCACTATCCCTAACCTGCTTGAGCATGCCTTTTCTCAACCGATCATATGTAGGCAGTCTCTCGATTGCAGCCCATTTAAGCTCCTCTTCATCTTCCTCTCTCCCACTCTTTTGAAACATATCTCCTTGATTCACCCACACCTCGCGAATACTCGCTGAGGCCCAATTTCTTTTACTAGCTGATGATAAACTCCTCATGCTCGGAGACCTTGTGCTCAGCGACCTCATTGACCTTGCAAGGTCATGTCTACCAGCAAAAGCCTCAACCATGGTTTACTAACCTGTATTCTCAAGCTATAACAAACACCAAGACCTTTGAATTATGCCAACTTTGTTATGGTGCAAGATGAACTTGCAAGGACTTAAACATGTGAGATTCTCAAGACTTGTAAGTCCTGAATCAAACCACTTCAACAATGTTTTGGTTATATTTGGAAATGGTGATGAGTTGATTTTGGAGGGCACAGTTTATATAGGTGAAGAAGGTCACAAGAAAAGGCAAGATAACGACAGAGAAGAGTATTATTAGAGAGTTGTCAGAAAATGAAAGCTTTTGCACAAAGGTATCCACAATTTTGTCAAGAAAAAGAAGGATTGGATTACTACATATTTTTCTATTCTATGTCGTTGTGTCCGAGGAAACTTTACAGGTTCTCGGTCTTCTGACGACAATGACGGATACCTTTGTTTGTCTTCAAGTCCCATTACCAGGAACTTGGTGCCCTCCTACGTTACTGCTAGAATTCCAAAAGGATAAGCATATCCTCAAACTCTGCAATTGCTTATTACTAAAATTACTCTTATGTACTTTGTTTGTCTGAATCTCGGCCATTAGCATTAATACAAAGGAAGAATCTCTAAACAGTGAAGGATACGAGCAATATGAGAAATAGAAGGAATCCTCGACCCGCAACGCAACAGGTGGAGAAGGATTTATTCAATCACATAGTTTAGCCGTACAGAATCCATTCTTTCAACGCATAGATTTTCTGAGAAAAATATTTGGTAAAATTAACAAACTCTTTCTATGGAGCATAATCAGACCAGAAATTCAACGTCATCGAATGCTTTTCTGTCTTGCTTCATGTATTTAGGATCCTAATCTACTTAACCAGTTCAAATCGCATGGATAATTTTCAAATTCTAAAGAATTACCCCTTCTTACCACAACTTTGACTTCATCAACTAGACATCTTCACAAAAGTCAATCACCTAAAGGCCAGCTGATAATATAAAATCCAACCTCCAGGAAACAAAAAAACAAGTCACAAACCCCACAGTTACAACCTACCCCATACTTGGCAACGTCATGTCCTTCTAACTATTTAGGGTTTGTAGCTTTCAAAATGTAATCCAGGTACCCCTGTAACCTTAACCAGTCGTACTCCTGAGGCCTGAAGACTTATCCCATGTCGTTGTGGCAAAGGATAAGAACAACATGGGCCAAACATCAGATCGTAAGAAGTTCTTTATAGTCATATAACGAAGACCTGGCTGGTCTAGGAGAATTGACGAGAAAAGAGACAAAACAAAAGCCATTAGGAGTCCTGGTTGTTAGTCCAACCAGCATGGAACATGATGTCAAATACACTTTGTATGGTCAAGCACGTATTAGATCCTAGATTAATCAAAGATGTTGAACCTAATCCCTGTCGTTTTAAAAGAAAATCAAATCCTCCATAAAGGGCTACAACAAGCTCGTCCAATAAACCTTTTGGCCTTTGAAGGGTTTTGTTAGATTAAGGGTAAATAAGCACTTTACATTTCACGTTATTAAATTTAAAATTTAAATCTCTCAATGCATCACACACTCGTGTAATGCTTATCCAATAATAATAATAATAAAATAAATTACAAAACACTGGCAGGTGGTTTCCAAGGCAGAAACTTTACAAGGCCCGTTAAGAAGCTACAGACAAACACTCACATCAGGATAAACATGAACTGTTCGCTAAGAGGCCCATGAGAAAGAGCACGTTGTGACCACGATGTCCCTCCAAAAGAGTGCTTAATCTTCCGTCTGATCTTCATTTTTTCTTCAAGAACCTTAATTTTATCTCACAACTGATCAAGAATTGAACCAACTTCGATCTATGCTCAGTCCTTTAAGCTCCGGCCAATATCAGATTCCAGCAAATGGGGGGCGCATTAGCATGGCACGAGCTCCTTGTAGAACAGGAACTAAGCAAGTTATCAATAAACGCCAGCCAACATCAATAACCAAGTGATAGCCCAAGATCCAATAGACCTCCTAAAATACATCACGTATCATTAAGGGGGCAGGATTCCCACTTATAACAACCGGGAAGAGTCTCCCTCCCTAGCTGGAACATTGACAGCTCAGGAAGCACCGTCAATTAGTGACCGGTTATTAAAAACGGCGTGCACATGCCCTTAAGCCAAGCCAGGTGGATGATGTTTCGAGGAGACCCGTGAAACGTTGAGCCAACACATCAAATGGGACACACAAGATACAAGCGTGTAGAAGTTTCTGTTACAGCCCTATTCTTTAACATATACAAATCTAATAACCTTGCATAAGCAGCAACAGCACCAAGCACTGAAGGATGAAGGTGAAAAAACATCAGGGGTCACCATACAAGCCTTAGCCATCAGTCTATAATTTGTGTTCACTATCTTTCTTGGGTTTAAGCTCATTAACAATTCCATACCAACCAATCAGGGAAAGAAATTATAGAATTGCTTAGCTTTACACTTCAACCGTCTAGATAAGCTTTCCAGAGACTGATTAGACTCTAACATAAAACAGGCTGCCACAGCCCTCCATCATTGCAGACCAACACAATTAACAGTATTCAGGAAGCTACTGTTAAAGCTTGCTCAAGCTGAGAAGAGAGACCCGCAAAGAACCACGAAGTATCATATTGATCAAGCTGAGAAGAGATACTCACCTGACAAAATGTAAGCAAAACATACATCTCTATGGAGTGATCAGGTTAATGAATCATGCACGTTTCTTTCCCAGCATGCCAAGAGAATGAGATTCGACAGCAGGGTAAAACTTTTCCCGTGAAATTTTCATTTTTTCCCAAATTTTTTTTCCAAGGACATCATCAACCGAAGTGCCTTGTGAAAACATTTGGTGTGAGGTTTTACTAATACAGAATGTACATTCAATCAAATCTATACAAAATTACAATACCTAGCATTGTCCTCCAAAGGCATCAAAAACACCCATGGGATGTAATCCTTCCGGCAGTAATTATTGGTCCAACTCAAGTAGTGGTAGCAACAGGGATACCCATTACCAATCAATCACAAAAGTGAGTGACAGCGACATCTGTTGAGCAGGCAGCAAGAGCAGCTTCAGCAATTTTAAGCGCCATTGCAGCTTTGAAGGTTGCCAAATCTGCATTCTTCATGAGCAACTGTGCCTTTTGACGCTTCAGTATGGCGGCTTCTACAGATCTTTTCACTGAATTTTTGGCTTCTTCAACTTTACACAAGGCACTATGCAAAGCATCCTTTTCAGCTGCCATTGCTGTATGGCAATAGAATTAAAGGACATAAAAACTAATCTCTGATAAATGACAGTGAAGTGAGAAGTGAAAAAGATAAGAAAGCGTAGATAATGAGCAGACGTGATCATCATAAAACACTATTAAAAAACAGAATGAACCAGATAATAGACTACAATACTGGACAGGACAAGAATCAGTAAGATCCATCATTAAAATAGCCATTCTTCAAACTCCCGGGAATCTTTGGGTATGAAACTTCACAACACATGATACATCTTGACTGAGTAATATAGCAGAGTTAAAAGATCTGTTGACTAGGTTGTAAACATCATAAAAAGATTCTGAAGTAAAACAGACAAATACCTTGCAATAGACTTGGTTGCTTGCCTCTTCCAAACTGACTGGGAGGGCGGTTGAATGACCTTCTCTTCCGCAGTACAGGTTTCGGAATCAGTGGGGTTTTCTTTGCTTGATGTCCCTGTTAACAAGAATCATCAATTTGATCAGATTAGCCAATATAATCATTATCAGTCTCAATTAGTACACATGTAAACCACTACGTGATGAATGGGAAAAGAATGGCAAGAGAACAGGGTAAAATAAAAAAAAATGACATGGAATTTAAAGATCAATCTAAATGACAATCAACCATCCAGAAATTAGTGGTAATTCCAACTCACCACGCTGGGAAATTTAACTTTATACAAACAGGTGGTTCAGCTTCATGTTCCCCCATCAAAGTTAATGGATTACTAATAGCAAGAGACGGCAGAAAATGCGTGACAACTTTTGGTCATTGAGATGGCAAGCTCGTCACTTGCTTGTGGAAACACAATCTGAATTTGAAATAATTTATTTCACCATTTTTTCTTTCTTCTGTCACCCAAATAATGAATACTATTGCTAAATAGATATCTTGTCAACCTATTGGCAAGGCAATTGATGCCACAGGCAAGGGAAAACACACACAGCTTTTTCCTCATCAATGTTTCCCTGCTCTGGTTATTATTTTGGAAAATTTTCTTATGGTCACCCCATCCATTGAAACCAGAAGCAAACAATAGGAAAGCACAAAATGCACAAGAAATTTCTTAAAAACTCCTCAATATCTACATGATGCAAATTATACTTCAAATATATTATTGAGATACAAAATAATAGAATGGTCAATTCAAACAACAAAAGTTGTAGACTACTGTTATGCTGCTACAGAACAGAAATCTGGGAGACATCAAAACATTTACCTGAAACACCCGAAGCAGTGGTGATCGTTTCTGCTTCCGTTTTTTCATCCAGTAACCATACACAGCTTTAGCCATTTCCCTTCTACCAAAATCCTTACAATATTTTGCTGCTGCACTCTCATCAGTGAAGTCATCTGGATCACAGAAATATGACCTCTCAAGGGCATCGATCATCAACTCAAAGTTATCCTCTGAAAGATGATCAGATTCTGCTAAAAACTCTTTATTGTACTTCTTAAGCCATTCCTCATCTTCAGAATCCATGTCATAACTTGCCGTGCTCCTTGACAAAGCTCTAGCTACCTCATCATTATTAGAAGAGATGTATGCATATGGTCTAGAAAAGGGAGCACTGCCACCATCATCATTGTCTAACACTCCCCTTACTCCGGGGACAGGTATGGCCTTTGAAACAGAAGCAGGAACATTGCGATCAGAGCATTCCTTGTACAATTCCTTGAAAATGAACCAGTCCTGTCTGTTTGGGAATTCTAGTTTCCAGTGGCCATCCCCATTCCAAATTATATCATGAGTGAAACGGTTGGAAACACAAGTCCTCATAATTTTCTGAGCCAGGTGAGAGTATCGAGTTAACCCATTTTTCTTAACCACAAGCACCCACTCCTTTGAATCAGTAAATTCTAACATGACAGTGGCCCCTTCTATCCTGTAACATCTGTCTGTTTCAGTAATCAGTAAATTTGCAGAGCAGCTAGATAGGTTCATGCCCTTCTTTACTCCAGTTGCAGCACAATTCATCTCTTTGATGCTTGCTGCAGGGCTACTTTGAATTGACCTTCTAAGCTTTTCCTTGGACACAACAGAGGAGAAAGGGATGCCAATTTTCCTACTACTAATTAAATCAGAAACTAGAGCACCATTAGCTTTGTGCAAGCCAGCTATGAAAGAATTTCTAGGTCTCCTTCTCCTGAGTGCGCTCCTCCTTTTCTGAATACCACGGGAATTTAATCCATTTCTGTGTTGGGTGTTTCGACCAGTCAACTTGGAAGCTCTAACAGATGGATGTAACACCACCCTACACCCATAACTATCAGTTTTGGGCACAACTGTAATTTTCTCAGTGAAATCGGTCTTTGTGGACGTGCATGATTGATCTCCTTTACTTTCACTCATGATTTCATCATCATCATCATCCCCATCCACCGAGTTATTTACAGGTATAAGAGACAGACATCTAAACTTAACAAACAAACTGAGATGCATGACCGCAAAGCATGAAGGGATTGCAGAAAAATCCACAGAAAACATCGGCAGAAGCTGCCTAGTCTCGAAAAACTTGCAAATTCCAATTCTATCAGAAGGAAGGTCCTGGGCGAAAATTTAAAAAAAAAATAAACAGAGAGAGAGAGAGAGAGAGAGCAATGTTAGGGGTATGTATCTATAAATCGCATATCATCTAAATCTTAAATACTGATCAAAACCCAACTTCAAAAATTTGAGATACTCTAAAAAAAAAGAGGCTAAACTTATATGAAGCTGGAAACAACATAATTCAGAAACCAAATAAAAAACTAATACAGAAGGCATCCATAATATAAGAAGAAACAATACTAACCCGCACAAAATGTAGTCCATTTGAGGCAAAAACACTGCTAATTGGATCCGACAAGAGAAAATCAGCAAGCTCAGAAAGACTCATACTGACTTTCATGGTATGCCTCAAAACTGAACTCAAAAAACAAGACAACCAACCATTACTACTACTACAAC